TAGTTATTCTACAATTTACAAACACATTTACAAACTTCACAACATATACCGCAAAATAACATATTTTTTATCACAAACAGAGTGATAAATGTTTAAAGGGAGTGGGTCATACAAATTGACAGGTTTTATGCAAGACCAATTGTCACTAGTTTGAACCTCATAAGCATGAACATGTTCGTTCAAACCAAGTACAGTAAGGTAGGAGAAAACAAAAACAAAATCATCATGACACGTGCAATTTAAAATAGATTCAACAACTCCTAAAACAGGACCTCCAGTCTTAGAGATGTCAAGAAGCAGCACCATTCCTGATTTATACCTAGTTCCTTTTAAGTTCAACCAACTAGGAGACAGCAACTCTGACGAGGAACGCATGCACTTGGGAAGCAATTTCAAAAACGTCTGATTATTAAAATCATCTAGCAGTACCTCACAGGAAGGACCCAATTCTGTTTCAGGTAAAAGAGACGTTCTAGATTTAAAACGATGACAGAGATTCAGTTGGTGTTGAATAGCTGCTGTTAAAGCAATATTTCTGCGGGACTCTGTAGCACCAAGTGGGATGGTAAGTGAGCGATGTTTCCTTTCGAAAGACTTAGTTGACATACCAGTAATAGGCCCACTCTGATCAAAAACTGTGCCGTAATGCACAAGGTGGTGAAATTTTGCTTTTAAGGTATCTCCAGTAACTTTAACATACATTGAATTAAACTCTGAAACAATAACATTTAAAGACAATGCCAGTGAAGTAGCTACATTCTTTGAGAGGCAAATATCAAACAATTCTACAAGTTTCAAATACAAATGCCAATATTCATCGTCAAGAGGCACCCTATCACCAACTAGAAGACCGAACAATTTCACAAATAGGACTGTCTCCGACCCTGACATTTTCAATTTATGGCGGGCAGAGAATTCAGTAGACACCTGGGGCATTTTGTTTGAATCACAAGGGCCATATTGAAACAATGCTATCCTATGGTTAAGTTCTTCAATGGTAAAATAGGTTGGGATGCAATGTTTTAAAACATGGAGCATTACATAATGGGCAACCCCCTCACTTAAGTCGTGAAATCCGTCTACTGCAAAATTTGAAGTTATATGGAAAGAGTTCAGCTGGTTAAAAACCGAATTAGTCTTGATTCCAGTAACAGAATAATCACTTAGAGCCACATCATCATTATATGACTGTACAGTTCTCAAAGTACTTTTATCTTCAACAGCCATTGTAGTAGTAACTTTTCTGTGAGTTTTACAGAATCGACAAAAGAAATTAGATGTAAAACATTCAACAAACCCACCAAGAGAGTTAAGTCCAAGGTTGTCTCCTAACAAGAGGCCAGTGACAAAGTAAATCCTTTTGGGCCCCTCTAGTGTGTCAATGAGAATACCATTAGTTTCAAGAGAAATAAGCTCATCTATCAAAGGTTGAAAAACTTTTTCATCACCAAAATCCCTCATCCAAGACTCAAACAGTAAACCTAAAAATATATTTACGGTAGATTCCTGACATTCCTCTGGAAGACAAGGAATAGAATGGTAGACAGCACCTAATTTATCAGTATGTGAACCTAAAGGGTTGTTACTCTCCACCTCATCAAAGTAACAATGAAGAGGAAGTACAATATCTCCTTCTGAAAATTTTGAACGCTTAGTCTTCCACAGTTCACACTGGATAAAATTTTGTTTAGAATTTACATTAGCATTAACAGAATTCATATAGGACAAAATTTCATTGAGGCAACCAGGAATTTCTAAAAACTTTTTCAGCACTTTCCCTAGTGGGACACACTGTACAAAACAATCCTTTGTTTTAAGAACAGGACCATTACTTGTTTTAACACTGATGTCAACTTCTCCAATTTTATGAGGCACTGGAGGAATATAATCACCATTACTTTCAAAGTATTTAAACCGGCGGTACTCTGTTGATAAGTGCGAAAACGGATTAGCATACTCTGAGAAAATAGTCTCTACATTTTTAATTTGATCACAGTCCAAAGTCATTGAAGTAAGCAAAGAATTCTTTACATTTGAGAGTACACTGTTATTAACAAATGAGTTACAATCACTAACAATATCTTGGACGTACTGCCTTGGCAACTTAGGCTTACAATATAACTTGCTCACAAAAATGTCTGTGTCACTGATCATGTTTTTTAAAAAGTCATTTGAACTCTGACCACTATGTGAACTAGCATTATTTGAACTCTGATCACTTTCGTGTTCCAAATTGGAAGAATCATGAAGAGCAAAAGTTAGAGAGGGAGTGATATGGTTACTACTAGCACAACTCAAATTACTTGAAAGTCCAGAGCAGTCATGCTTCAAAAAGTTCCTATACTCAGCCACACCATAAGTCCTCCCACAAGATTCATTTGGACACATGAAAGGTTGGTTTGCATGATCAATACTGTGGTGCACTTTGTAGGATTTAAATGAATTCACAGAAACTTTGCAATATTTGCACTTCATTATTGATTATTAAACCTTTCGGAGTCCTTTAGTCTAGCAGCAAGATAAGAGCGAAGGCCTCTGTCATTTAAATAATCTTGTGGAGTGCTGAATTTAAAAACAGCTAACTGCAAAAATAACCAGATGTGTCTTGATTCAATTGGGTATCTTGCATTCAGGCCAAAACAAAGTTTGAAAACACCAAACACTGCTTGCTGGGGTGTTGGAACCTCCCACCTATGGTTGTCAACGCAAATGAAACATTGTCTGATTTCCATGAGATTATAACTACCAACAACCACAGCCACTGGTTGCAGTTGATGCTTGAATTTGTGTAGGGTAACTTTTCTGGCATTCAGTTTCTCTTGGATTAAAGAAATGTCCTGCAAAAAAAAAAAAATAACTATAAATAAAAATGGTTCTGTTCACAAACATGTTTCTTAAAGGGGGAATGAATAATGACTTACCTGAACATGAAGGAGGAAGGAGTCCACTATTTCCTGTTGAGTGGGTCGATAACATTTACTAGATTTTGAAGCTTCGTCAGACTTTGGCACAGTCCTCACACGCCACAAATTTGGAAGCTCACGGATGATAGATAGAAACTGAACATCTATAAAAGTAAACATTGTTTGTATTAAATTCAAGTAAAAGAAGTTTGAAAACCTAGTTGTAACATCCTAATAAAGTTTGAGTGGAAAATAAAAAAAAATAATGCAGCTTAGAGCATTTACTTATAAATTAAGAAACTGCAAAATATTTTTTGAACCATATGCACTTTTGGTGAAAGTTAAACTAGATTTGAGTGAAATCTCATGAGATATACCACTGCACTTATTTCACCGAGTAAAAACAAAGTAACCAAATTTTTTCGGTGTATAATTTACCCAGGAAAGTGGATTAAAATTGATTCAGCCTGCCAACACATGTTTAACACACTTCAATAAAACTCACCATCAGGTACATTGGTAGACAAAAAGGTTGGGTTCTCTGTCCTTATCTCAGCTAATAAAAATGGAACAGCAGCATCCCATAGCTGAATGTCAGATTTTAATGCCTCCTGCTCCCTCTCTCCATCCTGAGCAATCTAAGCACAGAAAAGAAAAAGAATTAGGGATTGACAAACATCATAACATTTGAACAATGTACCTCTGGTAATCTTAAAAAAAAAAAAGAAAGGCTGCATAAGAACATATACCAACCAGTGTCCAGCCAAGGGGCTTGGCCAAGCAAATAAACTTGTCTAGATAGATGTTGATTATTTTATTGCACTCCTTCTTAAAGACCTGTTTCCTTGCACGGAACGTTGCCTCCCAGGCTGCCTGTATATCTGGCCATGAACTGCCTGGGTTGTAGAGAAGTTCCAGTTCTTCATTACAGTCAATGTCTGTGTCATCACCTAAAACAGAATAGATATCAATACCCAGCACAGAACTACTTTTACATAGGTTAATTTAAGATATGTCTTGCATACCTGAATCTTCGCCAATATTATCAGCCGTCTCATTGGGTAACGTTGTAATTAAACATGCTTCGAACAGGCTCCTCCGGACTCCGTACCACTTGTAGCGAAGTTTGCCTTCCACAACTGTACGTTTGTTTTTGGTAACAACGTCATACCATGTTTGCTGTGCAAATATGTCAGTCAGAAAAAAATGATAGATATTCAAGATTCAAAACAGGAAACCAGGAACAAAGTAAAATAGTTACCTTAGCTTCATTAGGAAAAAGCTTCACAATACTGTCACTGAGTTTGTCAAAATCATCCCGCACCAACCTGAAAATAAATTGAATTGAATTTGTAGACATGCATCCAAGACAAAATCAACTGTTGCAAGAACACAATTCGATTGAGGACAAACATCAACTTACCCTCTGTTGTAGTTTCCCTTGAGCTCTTTGAAAATGGCTTCCTGAGCCAAGGTGTCTCTTACAAAGTAGTCAAGGAACGACTTACTGGCGTAGAAGCCAAGAACAGTGAGACCGGGTATTGACTCCTTTAAATGTTGGTGCAGCTCCTAGAAATCATTTCAGAAGGATTGTTGACATCGAGTATTCATTTCAGAAGTTAATGTTTTGTGAGGCCTAAATAACGACAATGCACGATCAATGAAACTTACATTGACATTTGGCCGGGCGAGGAGGGCCTGTAACATCCCTTCATCAAACTTAGTCCTTTTCCTGGGTGGACGACGTAAAGTTGAGGTGTTACGAGCAGATGTTGAGGGGATGCAATCTGCAAAAGTTGAGCAGTCACTGGGGTTGGGAACCACAGTTTTTAGCTGCTGCGATTTAAACTGTGACAAAATAAAGAAAAGATGAGTCTATGCAATTTAAATTACTTACATAACCAAACTTGTCAGTGCTCTTACTTGTTCAAAATGAAACAAAAACTCAGACCGGGGGCCCTCGAAAGGAATCAGCCGCTCAATGGTGGCATTTTTAATGCGCAGCAACGAGCTTGTGGTAAACCGCTGCTCTGAAAATTGTAAAAGAAACTCCGAGTTATTCAGTCGCAAGTGAAAGTAACAAGTAATTAACCAACACAACACGTTGGGTCGGCGGTCATGTTATTATGACCCACGGTGTGGGTCACGCCGCACTGAACGTGTTAACAAGAACAAGTTAGCATTATGTACTCGAAACAAATGAGCAAAATTTAAAGCTTAGGTAATGTGCTATGAATGACCCGATGCATTCATTCAATACACGGCAGAGTCCCAGTCAAACTGAAATACATAACCTCAAACACCACAATGCGCTCACTGGCTTATTTCCGTAATATTTCCAAATCAGAGCCAAAGCCGATAAACTATCCAACATTTGCGTACAGCCGATAATTTAACAAACACTATACTTGAAATCAGAATTATGACATTTACTTACCGACAAAAGCTTGAACGATATCAGGGCTGAGGTCCCAGGACCGCAGCAGCGATGCCAAGTCCACGGGCGACGGCGGCAATGGCGGCATACCGAGCGAGGAATGATCTTGATAAATTCCATCACTCGTTTTTTATCTTCCCAACAAACATCGAAGTTCGAATAACTAAATTGTATCGATTCGTTCAACTCATCTCGATTGGTCGCGAGAGCCACCATGTCAATTTCTCATAGCTCTTCCGTCAGTTATGGTGACGCTTCGTTATAAGGCGATGGAACGATTGGTGTTTAGGCGCACACTACGAATGGATCGGCAGTTACAACTCTTTCGTCTACGTTGACAGAATCATTCAGGAGTGCATTGTTAGAACAAAATCCGGCGTATCAGGGACAGCAATACCGTTCTGTAGTCATAGCTTCGACGTCAGTTCTGGTAACTGACTGTGTTCTCTGGACGGATAGCAACTGACATGTGAGTTGTGACAACTAACAGTTTGCTACGGCAACTAAACCTTTTTTTTCCGTGTAATGACCACATTAGGGCAGCGGCCGCCGCATAATTCCTCCTTGTTTCCCGCCCGTAATTCAAAAAGGAGATGATCGAGAGCATAGAGAGGTAGAGAGGAAGGAGGGGGGGGGGCGACTGTTCGTTGCAGCGCTAATGTCGCCTCGCGCGTACAAGTCTCCGCGGCGGCGAAGCCGCTGCTTAGGGGGGAGGGCAAGAAAGAGAGAGAGGGGGGGGGGGAGAGCGAGTGAGAGCGAGCGCGAGCGCGAGCGAAAGAGTGAGATGGAAGAAGAGAGAGGGAGGAAGACAGAGACCCGAGGACAGTACCTCGGGTCGCCAGATAGGGGGTAGTGATAAGGCCCCTCAGCGTATTCCAGATACGTAAAAGATTCCCTCAATAAAACGGCATTCCTGCCTACAATGCTCAAAATTTTATGTCATTCTGACGTTTCCTTTATCAGATGGAGTTCGATGGCTCGTAACCGTCCGGTTTCTTCGGATTGGACCTGCCCTGCTCGTGTCCGGGGGCGCGCTTGTATTGGCTCGTTCCAACTCAACCCGACTTTGATGAAGCTGGAGATCTTATAGGCGGTGTAAGCGGCGGGGACACTCGGCACCTTGAGCATGTTCAAATTGGTGTTCGTGCTCGCATAAAACATCGTGTCCTTCAATGTGCCCTGCTACAAAACGGGGTAAACGATTTAAAAAGTACGAGAGAGAGAGAGAGAGAGAGAGAGAGAGAGAGAGAGAGAGACGGTGGGACGTGTTCGGCCCGCTTGGGATCACTCCAGATCTCGCCCCCATCTGGAATACGTGGGGCTGACTGAGCTTATCAGTTCTCTCGCAAACCAAAATTTACGTCGGGGAAAAAGGGAATGAGAAGCGATCTGTGTTGCAAACTCCTGCTCAGCCAGTCCACAGGGGTCCCCAGGCCGGCTGCACCTGAACTCTAACCTCGAGACGTTGTGTGCCGTACCTACCGGAGGGACTTTTTTTTATCTCTTTACTTCGAAAGCCACAAAGTGGCCCGAGAGGTAGCATCAGCAATGGTCTTAACTTATTGTTTGTTTTTCGCTTTGTTTTTCGTTTTTATTGTTTAGTTGCGGAGGGGAGAGGGTTCATCCGCGTCGATGGAAATGGAAGATCCTTGGATTACCGCGCAGCTTGAGACGATCAGAGTTTACAGAACTTACAGAAGCATTTAGACATGTTCCAGTAAACGGCTGGGGTATAATTACGTCCCAGCCAAACTAGAGGGATGCGCGGGCTGTCGTTGTGTCCGTGCGAAGGTGTAATTACAGCCCCAGAGCGCATTAGGACAGAGATGGGGAGATTGAGACACGCCAGATTTTAAATTCCGCGCGCGCTGATAAAACAATTGTCCGATTAGCATCCAGGCATGACATGTACGTAGCGGGGGCGCGGCGTGGCGGGGCGTAGCGGACCGACTCACAAGAAACTCGTACTATGTGCGCTTGCACGTATCCGCCTTGGAAATAGGTCCAGCATACGGTCTGGTGTTATGTGTTGTTATATCCACGTTTCAGGAATAAAAGACTAGCGCGTCGGTTTTTTGTTTACGTAATTCTCATTGCTGGCTCACATTTTAATCGTAGATTACCTAGCAGCAGAGGTCGGTACAGTAAGTCGCCGCCGGTTTCTTTGATTCCGAGGTCATGCTCTGCTCGCCTGCAAATGATGACAAACCCGGCGCTATCCATCAGCTGCCGCCCCGCCTCGCCTCGCCCGCCCCACCTCCCGCCTCGGCTCGTGTAAATTGGCTCCACACGGAAGGACTGGGGCAGATGATTCGTTCGATGCCGCCGCCGCGGCGCTCAGTCCGCCCGGCCGGTGTATCCGTTGCTTCCGTGCGCAAAGACATTTCAACGAAATCAACCGCCGTCGCTCAAAAAACAGGGTAAAAAAAGAGAAAGAAAAACACAAGAAGATTATGTAAGAAAGCTATACGCTCAAATTACATACATTCAGACTCGCCCGAAATGCCGCGCACGGCTGATAAATTCAATTATTATCACCATGAAGAATGTATATGCTCAAAATAATTCAGGTGTGATTTAACGCCGGCAACAGAGCCGTTGGTTTGGACGACACAGCTCTCGGCAGCC